ACAACATCAATATAGTTTTTATAATTGATTTTAATGAAAGAAGTTTATAATAATTATTGCAAATTGTTCATGATAATGACAAATTAGAACAAATGATTTTTAATATGATATGTCTTTATTGTTGAAAACCAATGGTTATGTATGTTATAAAAATGAATTCTTAATTTTCTACCAAAACTTATATGGATGTATCCATTTTAAATGTTTTTATAGTAATAAAAATAAATTATTATCTTATTACATTTATCAATTTCCTTTTTTTCTATTCGTTCTTTATCGTAACGGAAAAGTAAAATTAATAAAATATTAATATTTACATAAGAAAATATAAGTGGTAAAAATATACCTCAAGTATAACACTCATCCTTCCCTAACACACTCTTAACATATAATATATATATTATATTATAATATATATATATATATATATATATATATTATATATATATATATATAATATATATATATATATATATATATAGGAAAAGTGAATATACCCTTAAGGGTATATAAGCTTAGGTACCAAAACACACTATAATACATCATTTTGTTTGATTATAATGTTCTTAAACATCAACCCTAACTTTATTTACTTTCAAGGTTTTCAAAATTTCACTATTACCTTCCTCTTAAATCACATCTTTTTGCCGACCACCTACTAGATTATATATATTGTAGTTGAAAATGAAAATTATGTAAGAGGAAGATAGATGTGTAATTTATAAAAATTATGGAAATAAATCAAGTTAGAAGTTAAATTATAAGAATAGTAGGCAATTAGAATATATTATTTGACAGAAAACAACATAATATGGTGAATTTGGGTACCTAAGCTTATATACCCTTAAGGGTATATTCACTTTTCCCATATATATATATATATATATATATATATATATATATATATATATATATATTATATATATATATATTTGATTGGTCGCAGTACATAACAATTACTATATATTTGAGATTCAAATCACCATTTTATTTGGATTGTTCATTCTCTTGCAATATTTCATAGCTTTAATGACAAAAATGAAAGTACAATACATGATAATTTGTTTTTTTGTATAATAATGAAATTTTTTTAGATAAATAGTTTTTAATTTAAGTAAAAAATAATAATTGTTTACAATAACGTAAAACTAAATAATAGATTATATTATGTTAATTTTTTTTTATTTGAAATAATAATAATAATAATAATAATAATAATAATAATAATAATAATAATAATATAGGAAATACAAGATATTTAAATAAATTATTTATAAATTTGTTAAAAATACTTATAGTTTTAAATAATTTTAAATCAAATACTTAATTCAATTTGAGTCAAACACAAACTTTTTATATATTTCTTGTTATATACTTAAAATTATTATAATAGAGTTTCAATTTAGTATAAAAATTATTATTTCAATGATAAATGCTTATAATATTTTTTTAGAACATATAATTGTTAATATCTATACTACATTATTAGGCAAAACTCAAGGGTTTAAAACTGCCACTAAAACTCACTGGTTTTTTTAATTTAAATGTAATTATGATTTGAAATTTAATGTAATTATTCATGTCTTTATATTTTCCACTACATTGAAAAAAAAATTTATGGTTATTAATGTGGAATATCTTTTTATTTTCCACTTATTTATTATACACACTACACACTGTAGCTATATTAGTAGTATATAAGTAAGTTTTGATTAAAAAAATCATATATTTGAAAATATTTGTGATTCAAAATAAAAGAGTTGAAAAAATAAGTTTTATCGCATCAATGGTTATTTCAACATAGATTTTTTATAACAATTTTTTATATATTAAATGTATGTTGATTTCTAAATATTCATTTTGAATGATTTATAAGTGTTTAATAAGTTTTGTTTGATGTAAATGTTATAGTAGATGTTGTAGTGTTTTTATTTTGTTAAAAGCTATAGTTTTTTTTCCATACTATTTGTTATTTGTTTGATATACAAATCGGTATACGTTTTATATATAATTGTCACAATTTCAAACATTCTATACACGACTATAGTTATATGCAGATAAAGAAACAAAGATTTTGATTTTAGTATATGAACAAAGAGATAGAGTTTGAATTGCTTTCGTAATAAACCATGTTATGAGATTTTAGGTACACGACAATGGTTATGTGCAGATAAAGAAACTGTTGAGAAATTATTCCTTTTATATATCAGCTCAGATACCGATTGTTGGAAATATAAAAATCTGATCACCACAACAGGCTTGGTTACCAGTTACAGTGTGACAGATATATAAGTTAAAGATATAAGATGTAGATATATATAAGAATAATAAATGCGGAATAACTATAAATATGAAAGCTATAAATGATTGAAAGCTATAATAATATAAATGACTGTATTTAAATGACGTAAAGCTATAAATAATATAAATGATTGTATTTAAAAGATGTAAAGCTATAAATAATATAAATGACTATATTTAAATGATATAAAGCTATAATAAAGTATATAAGTATATAAATATATATCAAGTAGGTTCGTCAATAAATTGACTGAACTGGACTGATGGAACGACTGGTCGATATTTGAACTCTTGGAATGGCTGGTCGATATTGGGACTCTTGGAACGACTGGTTGATATGTGTTCAAAGATCAATCCTACATTATATAAGTAACAAAAAGTTCATTTAAAGCTCAGTTTTATGCAAAACAAGTTGTTTACAAAAGGGTACAAAATACATGAGTTTATGTATTTGTATTTAAGGTATTTTTGGGTAATAACATGCACACGGGTCGTGTAAGATAAGGCACAAGTGACACGGGTCGTGTAGGAAGGTTTAGGAGGGTTTTGGAGGATTTTCTTGATAATGATGTTGACACGGGGCGTGTTGATTTTAGCCTTGGATTTAACACAGGGCGCGTTGAACTGATGATCCTAACACAGGGCGTGTTGGATTTAGCCTTGTTTTTAACACGGGGCGTGTTGATGTACAAAAGCAAGCAGAAGGCAACACGGGGCGTGTCAGATATAAGGCATGCTGAACACGGGGCGTGTTCACACAGGAGGCAATTTTGGGATTTTTGTGATTTGAAGATAAGTTTTGTTTGTGATGTTTTGGATAGGGTAATGGTGTTATGGTGTTTTGAGGATGTTTTCAAGGTTGTTTAGAGGTTGGAAGGAGGTTGATATAAGGTGGTAATGGTGGTTAAATTTGTATGAAGATGATGATGAATAGTGATGGGTTTTGTGGTTGATCTTGATGCAGAAGGTTTTGGGGTGTTTCATTGTTGTGTTTTGGTGTTTTGATGTAAGGAAAGTGTTTGGTGGTGTACAGTGTGATGAAAAAAGATGGTGAAGATGGTGAACCTTGAGTTTCAATGAAGAAGATGAAGATGGTTAATGGTGTTCTTCATTTAGCTTGTTAATGATCTTGGTGTTCTTCACTTTCTCCAGGGATTTGTCTTTGTTCTTGAAGAAGATGAAGATTAGCTATGTTCTTGGGAGTGTTTGTAGGAAGTGTTACAAGATTACAAATGAACACACACTCTTTTACACACAAACTCATGTATACATATATGAGTAAGAAATAT